CATGAGTATTTTGAACTGGATTTGAAAGTGAACCGGTAACCAGTGCAGTGAGGCCAAAACTGGTGTAATGTGCTCTCTTTTGCCTGTACTGGTTAAAAATTGGGCTGCTGCATTCTGGACCAGTTGTAGTCGTGCAATGGAGGTCTGACTGATACCAAACAGGAGTGAATTGCAGTAATCAAGCCTAGATGTAATGAATGCATGTATTACTGTCTCCAGGTTCTTTTTGGACAATATGGGCTTCAGTTTAGACAGCCGCCTCAGTTGGAAGAAACATGATTTAACAATCATGTTTACATAATTGTTAAGTTTCAGGGAAGGGTCCATTATCACGCCCAGATTAGTGACTCTTTGTTTTTCTGACAGGGTTAGAGCGGAGAGGTCGATGCAGTGGTTTGTGATTGTGTCGTTGGGAGGGAACAACACGACTTCAGACTTCTTTTCATTGAAACTCAAGAAATTTAAAGCCATCCAGTCCCTGATGTCAGCCAGGCAGTTGAGCAGCGGTTGAATAGAGCATGTACCATTGTGTCTTAGGGGGAAGTAAATTTGACAATCATCGGCATAGAAGTGGAAGGGCATGTTGTGTTTCCGGAAAATAGCACCAAGCGGCAGCAGGTATAAAGAGAATAGGAGGGGACCCAGGATGAACCCCTGCGGAACCCCCCATTTAAGCTCTGCGGAACTAAAATCCTTGATGGAGACACAAAAGGATCTGTCAGCGAGGCAAGATCTGAACCAATTGAGGACTGACCTCAATTTGAGTGACAATAAAGTCACTAGGATTTTTAAAAAGCAGACATAAAAGTTTCCCAACGGAATAATCAATGTTTTTCTTCCGGCTGCTCTCTTCTTCACAGTGGCCATGAAAGATTAGGCTTTTTTTGGTTTGTTTTTTAAAACACCGGATGTCCTTCCTGATGCAACCTGGGCTCAGTACCGCAACCTACATTACAAGATTACATTACTACTGTTACAAGACCACCACACTGACCACCAAGCTACCGCAGCGCCCGCGCAGTTAATGAGAAGTTTATTAAAAAGCCTCACATGTGCAGTTGGTAGCTTCTCACTCGCTAAATGTTACAGGACCCTGTGGTCATAGAAAAGATGCTGCTCTTTTTCTGAAGAGTCCCATTTTTCTCTGCTCCAGATTTCTAAAACTGCATCTAATCAAGAAGGATGATGTTAAACCATCATCATGAAAGAAATGTGGATAGAAAGACTTCTCAATTATATGAACATTTAATGAACTCAAGTTGAAAATAAAAAAACTGTAAGACTCAAGACAATTAAAGCATAAAAGCACCATCACGACAAAAAATAAATAAAATCACTGCCTGAAAGAACTTTGTGACATGTAACCAAAGGACCTAACCTGTTCTTGTAAAATGTTTTGACGAGTAAAGTAAAGTCTAAATATGCTGAAGAGTGTGTGTTACTATGACAGTACCTATCAAAAATGGCTCCAACTCCTGCCATGTGTGCACCGTCGCGCTGCAGCTCAGACGCCAAGAGAGCTCCATCTTTCAAAGGAATAGAGCGATGGGAGAACGAAGCAATCAGGAGCTCATTCCACCCTGGCACATAAAAAACAAAAACAAACCAGAAAGAAAACAAAAATATTTGCAAATTTCTTTTTGAAAATTCATTTACAAATAACAGCACTGTGTAATAATTTTCTTCATTTGTAATTTTTTTGTTGTTGTTTAATTTGCAAGATAGCTGTAGCGCTGCAGCATTCAGTACTTGTTAAATCTTATTCTGAACTTTTTAAGAGATGCTCCCTCGTTTTTTTCAAAAGTTTCATGCAGAGATCATTTCTGTACCTGCACGCAGGAGGATGACCTGATCGTCAAGAGGCAGTTCAGAAAAATGAGGGATTCTCTTCGCCCACTCGACCAAAGCAAACAGCTGCTTATCTGCAGTCTGGCAGATGCTGGAAACAGCATCATGGGGCTAAAACAAAAGACGTCAACACACCATGACTTCCTGAAAGCTGGCCCATGAAAAACCTTTGAAATCATAGTTACCATGATTAACACATTCACCTATTAATACACATTTAATGAAATGGTCCAACAACTCACAGAGTTCCCTGCAGAGCCTCCATCAGAGTGAAGCTCAGTCCTCAAGTCCACAGCCATCTCTGCCTCCAGGATCTTCTCCACAGGCATCTCGTCGTTCACTCCAACGGTGAACTCCAGCTCTCCTTCACGCTCCCGGTTCCTCTGACGCTCCTCCTGGACCGCTGCATCGGGCAGAGCGCACAGAAACAGAATGGAAACGTGTGAATTTTAGACAGTTCGAATGCTCTCCTCTCCACAGGACTGCTGCTGCTCAGAAATGTATTTAGTTAAACTGTTTACCCCGACAGTATCTCAGAATATCTTTTAAAGTGTTGTGCTTCATAGTCAGCTAATTTTCCATGTTTAGCCAGATAGTGAAATAAAAAATAAAACAAAAACAATAAAATCACTGAATTAGATCTTCATTCAGGATCAGGTCATGGAGGCCGTCTCAAGCTGTTTTTCATAAATGCATTTTAAAAACAGCAATAAAATTTAACAGAAACGCTTTAAAACTGTAGCAAACAAAGAGGGAAATTTCAGGATTACTTTTTGCAATATTGTCTAAGCAATCTAGAATCCACCATATAATAATTAAAGTACTGAGAACTTCTTATCTAATTTTTTTTGCAAGTGATCAGTAAAAACAACTTCTGTAGATTGTGTTGTGCAGCAAGACAATAGTAAATTGAGTAAAACAATATTTACTAAAAACAAATGCTGTGCTTACGTGCATGGTTCTGTTACAATGCAACCTCAAATGACCTTAATTTTTTTTTTTTTCGTGACCACAGGATGACCTTTGACAGAGTTATTTAAGGAATAGGAAGCCACTAGTTACGTAACTGAGGGTTAAAGTTCTTGTTGCTGAATGAAACATTAACTACAGAAAGCTGCCAATAGATGGCTCCGAAAACCATCAGGTTTATCTTTAAGATTTGAAGCCTTATAAGAAATAAATTAACTATTCAAACATAACAGTTGGTTAAAACTTTACGTTCTGATTTCTCCTGAAAAGGGACTCTGTAGCACATTGTCATTTAATATCTCTGTGAGAACAGACACTAACACAAACCTGCTGCTGGACTGAAAAGTGTGCAGACTCCGTCTCTCAACACACAACCTAATTTAAAGCTTCTTGTAAGAACTGAATGCCATGCAACATACTGTGCTCCTATGATGTTTCATGCTGACCTTTATGGTCTTTACTAAAATGTGAGCTGTTGTATGGTTGCTGCGTCGACAAACTCAATCCATCAGATTTTCCACACATTTTCACAAACTCAGCACAGAACTACCTAGCAGAGCAGTCCATCATCACAAAGCACTAAAACGCAACAGTCCTCATGTTTTTGTTTGTTTGTTTTGCTCAAGAGCTGAAAATAAAACATTTATCATAAGCTTTACATTTCTATAGATAAATGTTAAAATATTTCCACATTTTAAATGACCACCATCCCTTATTTTGGGTTGTCTTAGTTTTTTTTGTTTATCACTTTTGAAAGATGGAGGAAAGGGTCAAATTGGAGTAAAGAAGAAACAGAGAGGAGTTACTTTAATGGCCAGCCCCAAACTGTTGTCCTGTTTTCGTGACAGTCTATGTCAACATCAAGACTACCCAGAAACTGTCCACTGCTCCAAAGCTATTTCCACTATTTCACTGAGTGCATAAATTGACAAAATCTGGAACATTAAAATATAATTAATGCCTATGCACTTAATAAAAATCTCCCACCTATGCCACTTTGGTAAAACTGTGTGCAATATGCTCCTTTAAAAGCCATTAGAAAGTCTTTTGTATGGCGCTTTTGGCTGCATACCTTCTCTCTTCATACCCATAGCCAGGCACTTCTGGTAGCGGCAGTACTGGCAGCGATTGCGCTGGCGTTTGTCCACCAGGCACTCTTTGTTATCCCTGCAGGTGTAGCTCAGGTCTTTGCGTACAGTTCGTTTAAAGAAACCTTTGCAACCTTCACAGCTGTACACTCCGTAGTGCTTGCCTAGAAAAAATACACACACAAACAAAAAAAAGATAAATTATCTAAATGAACTGTAAAAGAAAGGCAACAAGCTAATAAACAAGTTTCAATTTACAATAATGAGTGAAACCCATTATATAAAATATTTAGAAGCAATCTATGAAATGCTGTCTTTAGATAGTTCACGCACCAGAAGAGCGGTCACCACAGATCACACACAGTCGTTTCTGGGATGTCATTACTCCTGGGCTTGGGCTCTGCAGGGGCCTGAGGCCAAATGGAGGTTTAATATCTTCTGAGCTGCTGACTGAATGCATCCCTGATACAGGTGCTGAAGAAGAGATCTTAATAC